TAATAACCACGTTTCGTAACACATGCAGGTCACATTTTCAAGTTAATGAAACAATATATATCTAATATATAAATTGACTGACATTTCACTGTCAGACCAGGTGAATTTAACAGAAAAGTAGCCCTGATGAATTTGACTTAAAAGCAGGCCTGGTGAATTTGACTGAAAGGTAGGCCTGGTGAATTTGACTGAAAGGTAGACCTGGTGAATTTGACTGAAAGACAGGCCTGGTAAATTATGATATTAGTGGTACCTGACGAAATATCACGCACTAATGAACTAGTACAGTACCTGACATTTTATATTTGAACTTCCAGATAAGTATTAAAAATATCTATAAAAACAGTGAAGAAAGACAAATCTATGACTGACAAAATGTCATGCACTAATGAATTAGTATAGTACCTTTACAGTGAAAAAAGACAGATCTGTGACCGACAAAATGACAAAGTGTCAGAAAAAGTTCGAACTTGAGTCTGACAATGTCTGTGACAGGTGCCTTATTTCCTGGCTTCCTGATAGGTGAGCCTTGGGGAATATTCTTTAATTTGGTGCCTTATCTCCAGGCTTGCTCAAAGGTGATCCTTGGGAAATATTCTTGAATTTGGTGCCTTATTTCCAGGCTTGCTCAAAGGTGATCCTTGGGAAATATTCTTGAATTTGGTGCCTTATTTCCAGGCTTGCTCAAAGGTGATCCTTGGGAAATATTCTTGAATTTGTTGCCTTATTTCCAGGCTTGCTCAAAGGTGATCCTTGGGAAATATTCTTGAATTCGGTGGCTTATTTCCAGGCTTGCTCAAAGGTGAGCCTTGGGGAATATTCTGTAATTTGTAATGAATTTTAAAAAGTAAAAGAGATCTATGTTTCACTATATAGCTGTTTTTCCATAAGTATGTGTTTTTTGTGTATTGCTCTACCCAGTTACTAAATGCCTCTTAAAGATTATATTTACTATGTTTGAAGGTTAAATTCTTCAAAAACTGGTAAATATAACTTAAAGGCAAGCTCTGGGCAATGTTGTGTAATTTAATTTTTTATTTGAAATATACTAAAGTAACTGAGATATATGTGTATTGAGGACGATGAACGTACCTAGAAACACAGCAATCCATCAATGATTTGACAGGTTGACAAGTATTATCTGACTAATATAGTAACTACATTAACATACAGATCCTATCTTCTAACCTATGTCAAACCAAAATGGGGTTTAACGTTCTACTTTTCTGCACCGACTGGGCACGCGCCTTTAGTGTGCTATGAAGTAAATTCTGCCCGGATAGCGGCACTACAGCCTACTCTTATATCAATTAACAACATCCAAGGGTTCTTTTACGTGCACCCCAATGTGTACACGGGAGCTTGGTTTTTCGGCCCATCTGAACGTTATGTTGGTTCTCTGTCCTGCACAACTGCTGAAAATCCTGATGAATTATTTCGGTGGACACAGGGATCAGATACAGAACCTTCAGGTTAGCGAACCACAGTGCTGGAGATTTAACAATAAATAATGCACTCAATTCCTCCATGCAATGTTTTGTTACAAATTTCAAGACTTTAATATTTGGAACTAAAAGTTTTTCTCCCTAGAGGAAATTAGAGGTAGAATTTCTAACAGATGTTCCAGAAAAATAGAAATTCAAATTGATCTGGCCTTAGAGTTTGTTTACTACAGGAAGGAAATCTACCAAAATCCTTCCAAGATGAATTAATGGAAGACAATTTGAGCATATCCTTGCACACTGATCCGCAGTGAATATTCGCAAGGCCGCGACAATCACTGATAAGGATGACTTCGATGCGACTTAATGTAAATGGGTATCAAAATGAATAAAAGGCACCTTTCCGCCCGAACCAGTAAGGTCTTATGTAAACAATGCACGCGCCATTGAGCCAATGATTGACGCCGCGTACAAGACGTCATGTGTTGAAGGCAGTCATATGTTACAGAGATATTAGAATACTTTCTTAATACTCTGTGAAACAGATTGATATCCTTGATGATAGGTAAAGCAGGATCAAATTGAAAGTGAAGGGGCAAGATATAAAAATGGGACATGGAGTAGAATAAAACTTTAAAGGATCAGATTATCAACATATTCTAATTTCATATTGTAAATTCTCCAGTCTGTCATTTTTGCTGAGAGTCTGTTAAAGACTGGCAAATATGATGAAAATGAGAGGCTTCCCCCACCTTAATTATTAAATTCTATCATTGAAGTCATAATAATATTATTAAAAGCTTTGACCAGTAAGATAGAAGTTTCAGTCCAAAGTTTTCTTATCTCAGAGTAGCAAGAAACTTTAGCATTATCACAATTAATAAATCAATCAATGGTTTTACTGTAGCCTATGTCTATAATTTGACTGAGGTGGGTGGTGAGGTTTATGGTCAATGGAGCCGATACGACCGAATTAACCTGGGTAAAACATTTTCAACGATATGAATGGTAATTACAAAACTTTTTAAAAATAATATGAGAATTTTAAGCATTACCTTAATCAATAAATCAATTGTGTTTACACTGTATTTGTTGTTTTACACTGTATTTGTTGTTTTTACACAGTATTTATTGTTTTTACACTGTGTTTACACTGTATTTGTTGTTTTTACACTGTATTTGTTGTTTTTACACTGTACTTGTTGTTGTTTTTACACTGTATTTGTTGTTTTTACACTGTATTTGTTGTTGTTTTTACACTGTATTTGTTGTTGTTTTACACTGTATTTGTTGTTTTTACACTGTATTTGTTGTTTTTACACTGTATTTTTCGTTTTTTACACTGTATTTATGGTTATTTGAGGTTTAAAAATTCTTTGAAATTGGCATGCAAATGAACTGACAATTGAATTTTCTAGTCAGTCATATTTGAGTACCTGTTAATCATAACTGGTAAATATAACTCAGTTAGAGTCTTGTCCTGTATATAAACATATAATGGAACAAGAAGCCTGTATATAAACAGATAATGAACACGTCATGGAATACGGCTTATTAAAGAGGCATTAGGCAAGATCTAGAGAGAGAGGGTTGGCCATTCTTGCCAAAACAGTTAAAAAATATATCAAAAATTTTAGCCAAATTTCTTTATTCTGAGTGAAGCTATGAATGGCTACTATTATCAGGTTTCAGACAGCAGGGGCTATTAATTTGTATAAATTTTAATCTAAATAACTGCTAATATTTGGTGAGTAAGCATACCCTGTCCCGAGCATCATATCAGCAGAATCTGATCATGTTTCCCTAACCGATACCTGAAATAATACGGTGGATTATGAAAACATGATGGTCTGTGTTGATATATGAAGAGCCCCAGGGAAGAACGATTTAAGTCACTTTTTTAACGAACCTGCAGTTAATGGCGCCATCTGGTAGCAAATTGTATAAGCTTTCTGTGGAAAATCAATTTCAGCTAAAAACGATCAGAGTCACATCGAACCAAGGCCCTTCTGTAATGCCCCCCCCCCCCCCCTGACAAATATGTCCATCGTACCCTTTATTTGACCTTAATTTGGCTGAAAAGTGGAAGTCAGTTGTTGTACTGGTAATTATGATTCATATTTAACATCATTTTATAGTTGTAATTAAACCCACTCGTTGTTCTGTTCGCGTCAAGCATTCTCACCCTAAAGTCTGTTTCGCCTTTTATGCGAAAAGACAAAAATGTAACTTAGATCGTTCTTCCCCTGGACTATTCATATGTGAATACAACTATACTGTCAGACCTTTTATAGGCCGTATTGGTGAGTGACGGAAAATTTTGACTTGGCTGGTCGTATAAGCTTTTAACGCAGGTATGTCGGACACCGTCTAATCCACTCAATATCACAGCCATCTGATGTTTTAGAGAGTTGATTATGACCTTATCATATAAATAAATGCCCAAATAATAATTTATATAATATTTGAAGCCAGAAAAATGTCCGACAATAGACAACTTTAGCTCTCACATAATGCATCTTTCATACTGAAGCCAGAAAAATGCCTGGTGATAAACTAGTTTAGTGCTCGCATAATGCCTCTTTAATATGAAAGTTTTTGGTTGTTTCCTGAATTATGATGGATGAACATAAAGAGTTTTAAAGCTTCATTATAGAAAGCTTCAAACAGTCTACATGATTTACATATTAAAGCTACATCATAGAAAGCTTCAAATAGTCTACATGATTTACATATTAAAGCTACATCATAGAAAGCTTCAAATAGTCTACATGATTTACATATTAAAGCTACATCATAGAAAGCTTCAAATAGTCTACATGATTTACATATTAAAGCTACATCATAGAAGGCTTCAAACAGTCTACATGATTTACATATTAAAGCTACATCATAGAAGGCTTCAAATAGTCTACATGATTTACATATTAAAGCAACATCATAGAAGGCTTCAAACAGTCTACATGATTTACATATTAAAGCAACATCATAGAAGGCTTCAAACAGTCTACATGATTTACATATTAAAGCTACATCATAGAAGGCTTCAAATAGTCTACATGATTTACATATTAAAGCTACATCATAGAAGGCTTCAAATAGTCTACATGATTTACATATTAAAGCAATATCATAGAAGGCTTCAAACAGTCTACATGATTTACATATTAAAGCAACATCATAGAAGGCTTCAAACAGTCTACATGATTTACATATTAAAGCTACATCATAGAAGGCTTCAAACAGTCTACATGATTTACATATTAAAGGTCACCGGAAAAACTTCATAATGTCAACATATTTCTTCCATAAGTATAACACATTCCTGAAAGTCAGTGTTACTTGCCAACGGTAAATTTCAACAGGTAGATGTCCACCGTTCTCCGTGAGTGGTCGTAACTTTCCGTCAATAAACAACGAGCCGTGATATAATTTTAGTCCTTCTGCTCATTATTCCTGAGCAGGAGGACTATTAGCGGAAAGTTATGACTACTCACTGAGGAGTAGCGGAAATCACTGAACGTTGAAATTTACCTGTGGCAGGTAACACTGACATTCGGGATCATGTTATACTTATGGAATAATATGTTGACATAATTTCTTGCTTTATTTCAAAAAATTATGAAGCTTTTCCCGTGATCTTTAACAGAGACATTCAATGATTTGTTTTCATAATAACCGTTTCTTACAATTTATTTAAGCCTCATTTTCACAAGGATATTTCATCATGCACCTTCATGTAACAATGTTTTCAAAATAAGGGTAGTTTTTTTGTTAGGAGGGGGAGGGAGCCAGATTCACAACCCACAGTACGTGCTGCCACGGGTAGTCTACGGGGGAAATTTCAGTAAACCCGTGCATGAGACTTGCGTTTGTTCGGCAGATCACAGACTGGCTGTAGAGACTTTTGGTCCTCCACATACAAAATTTTCACCCGGTTTCTTTCGGCTGGTCTGCGAGCTACTAAACCCTACGACCTGTGCATGTCAAAGCATGTACAGCGAGTTTTGAGCTAAGCTAAGGGGAGCGAATGCTTCTTCCAGCACCACCCCTAGTCCCCACTCTCTTACAATTTTTTTTTATATCCACTGTGGACCCATTACTAAGATACTAAGATAGCCTATCGTTGTTTTTACTGTAAAAGAACAGTCAGATCTATATGACAAGGCCAAATACATAATTATGAGATGTAAACAGGGCTAGCGCTAACCCTAACCCTAACCCAAGACTTAGTCCTACGCCTTACCCTAACCCACATCTCATGACCTTGAGGAAATATGCATTTGGCCTTGTCAAATAGATCTGACAATGTTCATAGAATTCTCTCATGATAACGTACGGTTGTTTTCACTATAAAAGGACACATAATTTCTTTATGAAACTAAAATGACGTTAAAAGATACGTAGTTAGTAAAATATCATAAAACATTTTAAGTATAAAATATTATAATTTATGATTCCAAAAGAGAATAAAACACTTTGATGTACAATACATAAAAATTCATAAATTCAAAAGAAAATCATAAAATGACATAGTTTTATTTTATGTACCCATTATGAGCTTTTTGCACGGAATGACACCCTGTGTGTATTTGACTTAGAATCTTGTACCTGGTTTTTTTCTAGGAGCCATGCTTTTATAATCTTTGATTGCCATTTAGAGATCGAGCTTAATAAAATACAACAATTAAACATTTATATAACATGTGTCATAATTCTATGGGATACAAGTTAATTAAAGATACATTCCCACGAAAGTATTTATCACATGGTTATTTCCAATAAAAGTATGACAAATTTGGTATATATGGAAATCTTACCAGAAAAATACTAGATTATCCGAAAAACACCCATGGGGCAAGCACTGGGCAAAAATGTCAGGGTATCACTAACTGGCAGCCCGACTTATCATCATCAAATAACACAGTTTGTACGCGGGAAAGTATCTTTAAAAGATTTATTTCTGGCAGCAATTCAACGAGGGTTCTCTCTTGTTTATCAAGCAAAGTAACTTGTATTCCATATAATTGTTTCATGTGTTATTCTCATGCAGTTACTAAACAACTCAAACAGACATGTAAGTCTCCTCTTATCGTTTTCAAGACTGAACTTGTATAGAGAGAACTTATATTGTTCAATCCAATTCAGTTTATTGAATAAAATATTGTTTAAACTAAGACTGGTCTTTCATTTCACGGCAGGATTTTCCCAGGAGACACTTGTCTACGACGTAAATCTTGGCTATAAGACAAGGCTTGTGAAAACAAATGACGCAATATATTTATAAGGTATGTATAACAAGCAGTTATTTTCAATCTGATTAAAACACATATCCTATTTCGTTTCGTTTTTTATAGTTTAAAATTTTGTTTTATTTGTCTTTACTACACTAGGATCTGGAAGAGTTGATATATAAACCGCTTTCTGGTTGATGCGAGGGATTAGCTAATGAAACAGTCTTTTGCAGCGAGTTCTTGGCATGCGATGCAGAGAACTCTGGGTATCCTATTAGAAACATCAACGCTGATGGGTTAATCATCTGACGTCATAGGTTAAAAGCCGCTCATGACCCCTGACGCAACCTCCCACTACAACAGGTCAGATCTTCATGTAGTAGGGGTGATCGAAAGATATAATAAAATAAAACGAAATATAGATCTATATTTTAATCAGATTGAGTTATTGTTTGTATTTCATATAAATGGTCATTTTTAGCCACATTTCTTAGATTGATTTGAAATTAGTTGTTTAGTGACAGAGCGAGATCTGAACGCTTAGTTGTCTGGATTATTTACTAGTTTTATTTATTTTTTTTTTTTGTTGACTTATTGTATTATGCACACATACAGCGCTAATTATCTGTATTTTAGTTTATTTATTTTATTTGTATATTTAATATCTGTAGCCTACCATATTTTGTAAAGGGCATGTGAGTACTTAGTCGTGGAAATTATGGGTTATAAAAATGTACTGGTACAATAATAATAAATTAATTCAATTGAAACCTTTTGTTTTGTTACCCAAATCAAGGAGTCAATTTCCTTCTTTTTAATCTGTCTGGATGTCGAGATCAGTCACGTCGGGTTCTAAAACTTCTATCAGATAAAATAACGTTTTTCCTCGAGTCCAGCTGTACGTATTATCAAATCTTATCACATCTACAAATAGACAACAACAAAAAAATTAAAGTAAAAAATTAAATGAGGTTTAACGTTCTACTGTTCTGGTCTGACCAGGCTAATGAAGATGGAATTACGCCATACACTGTGCTATGAGGGAAATTTTGCTACTACGGCCTACTCTTAAATCAAGATTTCCAACTGCCAAGGGTTATTTTACGTGTATGCCAATGTGTAAACGGGACCTCGGATTTGTTAAAGTAGGTAATCCACCGGTATTGAGTTGGCTACTCGATCTGCTGTTTATCATACAATTCACCGTACAATTTGCATTAATTCCAGGGATTAACTCTTTTGTAATATTGAAATAATTCATATATTCTGTCCATTTGAATCCTAATCAGGTACTATGTGGTGGTACTTCGTAGTATTGGGTTAATTTTGGGTTTGGGTAAATCGTCGCCCTCACAGTTAGTTGGTATTTTAGCGTCAAAACAACAAATGCTAATAAAGTCCTAATTGTTTTCACTACAAAGCAAAACAAACTTAAATTTCAAATGTGGTCAGTCAGCCAAAATTTGTAAAATATAATTTACAAAATTACAATTATTTCTGATAATTACTTCCATGTTATTGCCCCTGATTTTATTATAGAATCTTTAATGCTTTTTAAATCAAAATTTAGTCTAATTAGCCTGATCGGGAAACAAAGGGAAGATAACTCACATGTTCCTACATCAGTACAGGTGGTGCTGCCATCTTCTGGTATAAGATGACTGTTAACACGATCTGATGCTACTACTTCATCCATCGCACCGGCTTTCTGTCGCTTGTTCTTTGTTCGTTTAAAAATACCAAAACCTATATCAAAGCCGTCTGTTTTAAACTGCCATCTTGAAAAACATAAAACCACATAATAAAGATCAACCATGATTTACGAATAGTTTGTTTCATGATAATGGCATTGGAAATGAAATAAAATGAGATAGAGAGAGAGAGAGAAATGGGGTTTAACATCCACTCAAAACAAACTAGGTCATTTCGGGACAAACACAAGGTTCAATTTTATTTCATAATATAAGAGATAAGGTGGCTATGGAGACCTGGTTATCCCGAATGTCAGTGACTAGTTTCGTTCGTATTGAACTCTTCAGACTGATTGGACTCACGTGTTGGGCGTTTTTATTTATACTATAATTGGCAGGGTTACCGGGGTTTGCGAATTTGTTACCGGGGTCGGTAGCTCACTTACCGGGGTTGTACAGAGGTTTGACAAATTGGCGGGGTGCCAAATTTGTTACCGGGGTCGCTAGCTCGCTTACTGGGGTTGTAATGATTGTTTAGATTTAAGTGCTAGTGTCCATAATTTTGCTAACTAGGGTGCCTTGGGTTGGTTGGTAACATTGTTACTTGTCATAACAATGAAGGGATAGTATATAGATAAGGGTGTTGATGTAACCACCCATGAGAGGGGTATAAGGCTAAATATAAATCAAAAGTTGGAACACTCAGGGTTAGAGCATTGTGATACAAAAATAAAAATGGTTGGAGTGCCCAAGATTTGTCGTTGATTCCATGAAGTAGTTAGGTTTTAGAACGTTAAATACTGTGTGATTCAACATGGCGCCCGAGGGGTTTAATATGAAATAGGTACGAAATAGTACCAAATGGTTTATTGGTATGAGAGTCAAGGTTTAGACTAGAATGTCTTGGAAATCGGAAGTTGGAGGCGACTAATATGTGTCTCTCTTTTGTGGACCGTTGTGTCCACAAAAGGTAGGCCTATTCACCTTTGGTAATATGTCAATGTCGAATAAGCAGATTCTTATCAACACGATCTGCTCTGGACCGGTTTGATTCTACGTATATCTCGTAGCTGAGAGAAAAAGAAGATTTTTTATTTCAATTTTATTTCAATAATTCGCTTGCACATAGGGGTCTTTAGCAGTGGGAGGAAACCGGAGGACCCGGAGAAAACCCACGAGGTTGGACAGGCGACCCTACTCCTTGTCACGCACAACCAGGGATTCGAAACCACGCCAGTTGACTCAATGACAGACTTTATGATACAGCCCGCGCAGGCTAACCATTCGGCCATCCAACTCCCCAAATAAAATGGAGTTAAAAGTCCTACTGTTCTGTATCAACTGGGTAATGGAGACAGGGATACGCCACGCAATGTGATATGAGAGAAATTTTCTCCGACAGTGGTAGTTCTGCACCGACTCATCATCAAATTTCATTTGTCAAGGTACCACAATTTCTATCCACCCAGAACCAGACTTAAAAAGTCTGAAACATTCTGGTCAATTGTCCTTACAACACCACAAATATTGGGACAGGCGACTTGTTATGTACAAGTGGGGAATTGAAACTATGCCACTTGACTCAATCACAGACCGTATCATCCAACGTGCATGTGTTAACCATTCAAACACCTAACACCCTCAATGGCACAGGAACGCAACATTATCTCTTTAGGAATAAATTTATAGAAATGTGTTTAAATTATGTTAGCAATTGTATCGCTTAGCATGCCGACATTACACAGTAATCTACCAGGCATTACTATGTAAGGAGGGGGGTTGGGATCAGCAAAGACTTTCTGTTCAGTCATCACATGTGTTGTGAGCCTACAAATATAACAATTTTCGATACACCAAAAATATGTTAAAACAAATGACGAAATACACATTCCAAAATCTGTCCCAATTTTCGGTACACCAAGGTCTGTCCCACTTGATATCAACCCAGAAGACAATGCAGAAGTAAATAAAAAATGGCTCATTCACAAATGACAAGGCGCAAATGACTGTCCGCGTATTTCACCAAACATATAATTCATTAGAAATTACAATAAAAAAATTGGATATAAACCATTTTACATACATTCACATTACATTAAACATACATTATGCAAGATGTTATCTAAGTTATTAATTAGACATTAATTAACTTATCCAGACCATAATCAACTCTCGATGTCATCGCCAGCCTGTGATATTTACTGGATTGGAATCTGATCTGCTGCTCAACGCTCATTGATGATCAAATCAAAAAATGGATAATCAAGACTTCATTTTTAATCATGCTGACTTTAGTAATGACGATCTAGGCTAGGATTAAAATTCAATTGCTAAATTCTCGGTTCAGAGGGGATCAATTTGACTGACATTTTCAGCAAATTCCCATTACATTATCTAGTTTTTAACTATTATAATGAGAACTGCCATCCCTTTATCTAATCTCCCATAGTGTATCTTTAATGTGCTTTTAGAACCCGTGGTTTCCCCCTTGTCAGTGATGCAGGATGGAGGGTCTGACAAGGACAGCTGTCTAGTCGTTCGGATGGGACGAAAAACCGAGGTCCCGTGTACACATTGACGTGCACGTAAAAGATCCCTTGGCAGTTGGAATTCGATATAAGAGCCGCTGTCCGGGCAAAATTTCCCTCATAACACACTGTATGGCGTATGCCCGTCTTCATTAGCCCAGTTTAGGAGCAGAACAGTAGGATGTTATATAAATCCCATTTCATTTCATTTCATTTCGTTTCATTTCGCTTTTAGAAACATTTTCGTCTATTTAAGGTTCCAAAGAATAAAGTTATTCACCCTTTAAATAAATAAAGACTAACCGTATAACACTCTGAGGTACTTTTATTTCATAATCTAACTGTAGTGAAGAACCACGTCCCAAATCGACTTCTGTGAAACCATCGAGATTCGATAAAACTTCACTATAATATTTCAGTGGTATTTCTCCACCCAGACAGATCTGAATTAAATAACAAATTTACAATCTAGGATCTTCACTGGTAATGTGGCCTGGGAGTTAGACTTTATGCTAGCATGCCCAGGATTTCAGAGAGAGAGAGAGAGAGAGAGAGAGAGAGAGGAGGGGTTAAACGTCCACTGTCCACTCGACACAAACTAGGTCATTTCGGGAATAACATATATGGTTCAATTTTATTTCTTCAGCAGTGGGAGGAAATCAGAGGACCCACATAAAACCCACAAGGTTGGGGTTAAACGTCCACAAACTAGGTCATTTCGGGAATAACATATATGGTTCAATTTTATTTCTTCAGCAGTGGGAGGAAATCAGAGGACCCACATAAAACCCACAAGGTTGGACAGATGACTTTACTCCTTGTCACGTACAACCGGGGATTTGAAACCATGCCATTTGACTCAATGACAGACCTTATGATACAGCGCGCACGTGCTAACCATTCGGCCATTCCACACACCCCCTTCAGAGAGAGAGAGAGAGAGAGAGAGAGAGAGAGAGAGATGGGGTTTAATGTCAGTTGACACAAACTAGGTCATTTTGTGACTAACATAATAATTTGCTTGTGCATCTGCCATCCAACCTTCCTCCGGGGTTTCAGCAAAGTTTGATTACCTTGCTTACACGAATCTTAACGTAATCAACTTTAGGCAGCATACTGAAAGGTTTAGTGCATCCTTTGGACTTTTCACTAAAATATCAAATTTTTCATGGCTTAATACACTATATGTACTCAGATTGCTTTTTCAACAATTTAACAAAGCAAAATACAATTCCCAGCTTGGATTAAATCCGATTTTAACTAGGTCCATCAGGTTTCTCTGTGTAGGATAAAGCATGAGATTGAGGTTATGCTGGGGAAAGAAAGACTGAAGAAAATAACCTGAGAAAAAGAAAGACCGAGAGAATACAGGCCAAGGTTTTTCTGACGAAGGTTTTTTTCTGAAGTCTTTCTTCCCCAGCATAACCGAAGTCGAGGACTTTATCTTGCTTATAAACTGTCTATGTTTACATGTACGCAAGATGAGAATATCCCAGAATTCCCATAAGAAAAACCTTATATCATGTTTTCTTATGGGAAAAAAAACCTACCCTGGAAGAATAACCCGTTTAAAGAAAAAACTTTCAGAAGAATAACCCCAAATTTCCCTGTATATATCCAAAGCCGTCCCCGACTTTCAGACTACAAGCTATTCCGGGCATAGAATATACCCCAAAGATCAAAGAGATTTACCGTTACAGGTTTATAAGTTACTGATAAAAGATGGCAGTGTCTTGTTACGCTCAATGAAATTTCAATTTATCATAACTTTAAAAATACTGAACTCAATTGAACTATATTCCTATTAGAGATTCAACTCTGACAATATTGTTGTTTTCAAGGGCTTCCTATAACGCCTGTGTGCCCTGGAATTACCAGAATTATTGCCAATTATCACTGAAGTCTGATTTTAATCCCAACATTTAATTTTATTTTGCAAATTGCGACTATGGCAACCGGAGGTGAGCCCTAATCAGGGGATCTGTAGCTTGCAGTCTATGGTATACACAGAAAACAGACAGGAAAACTGAATCGACTCAAGGCTTTTCTCGTTATTGAGGCACCAAGGATTGAAAAATAACCAGATACATTCAATAACCAAGCAAAGTTGACCACAAATGAAGACCTTAACATTCACAGGTTTTCACTGTATCCCAGGTATCATTTAATCTTGCGTATTTAAGCCCAATATCTTTCACTTTCATTCAATATCTTTCACAGGTTTTCACTGTAACCCAGGAATCACTTAATCTTGCATATTTAACCCTAATATCTTTCCCTTTCATTCAATATTTTTTACAAATTTTCAAACACAGACTTAATATTGGACGAATGCGAAAAAGAATTAATGCTAAATACGTAAGATTAAATGATACCTGGGTTACAGTGTTTAGTCCTGTGTTTAGTAATGAAAGTTACCATGGTAATGAATCTCTTGTTTTTACCTGAGATGGACATCTGATATTTCCATCTGGATCTGTCTTGGTTCCACCCCAATAAACAGGTAACTGATCGGCATCTATATCTTTTAATAATTCTGCTTTATAATTAGCTGATCAAAATCAAAAATATATGGGTCATTGTCAAAATTTGGTAGAAATTGCAAATCACAAAAGACCAAATATCAAATATGATAATTGTTTATTTTTTACATTTATTTGATAAAGTATAGTTCAGAGTTGCCAGTTCTAAATAAAGTTGGAACATTTTTACAAAATTTAAATTTTTTTTCAGATTTTAACTGTGACCAGTTGAAAATATGATTACTAATTTTGTTGAAAATTTGTGAATATAACATAAAACCAAACTTTTTAAAGCATACTATTTCAGGAGATTTGTCATGTTTTCCTCAATCATGCTTGTCTGACATCTTTATCTAAAAAAAAAAGTTTACTTACTTCCTAGGATATGTACTTTTTTAACAGTTGCTTCACTAAGAAATGGTCGAACTAAATTAAAAGCTATTGGAAATATTCTTGGTGCTGAAATAAATCAATATCATTTACATGATTAAACACCTCATTCATGGAATGTTTACTAAACCCCTGATATAGAGTATTTACTAAACCCCTGATCTAGAGTGTTTATATGAATCCTCTTCTAGAGTGCTTACATGAAGCCTTGTCTAGAGTGCTTACATGAAGCCTCTTCTAGAGTGTTTACATGAAGCCTTGTCTAGAGTGTTTACATGAAGCCTTGTCTAGAGTGTTTACATGAAGCCACGGCTATAGTGTTTACATGAAGCCACGGCTATAGTGTTTACATGAAGCCTTATCTAGAGTGTTTACATGAAACCTCATCTTGAGTGTTTACATGAAGTCTCATCTATAGTGTTTACAACAAACCCCATCTACAGTGTTTACTAGACCCCTCATCTATAGAGTGTTTACATGAAGCCTTGTCTAGAGTGTTTACTAGAACCCTCATCTATACAGTGTTTACTAGAACATCATCTATACAGTGTCTACCAGATCCCCTATCTAGAGTGTTTACAAGAACATCATCTATATAGTGTTTACAAGAACCCTCTAGCCTACTCTCATATTGAATTTCAACGGCCAAGGGATCTTTTACATGCATGCCAATCAATGTGTACACATATCTAGAGTGTTTACAAGAACATCATCTATATAGTGTTTACAAGAACTCTCTGGCCTACTCTCATATTGAATTTCAACGACCAAGGGGTCTTTTACATGCATGCCAATGTGTACACATATCTCAGTTTTTCATTTTCATCCCACTCAAATGATTACACGTTGTCTCTTGCCCTCTGTCCTGCACAACTGAAATGACAAAGGAGAACCATGCGGCAAAATCCAGTGATCTTTGTCAGCCAACACAGGGATCAAACACGGAACCACCAGGTTAGCGAGCCAACGTCTTACTCACTGAACCACTGCAGGTTCATTTTAAACCAAACAATGAAACTATATAGAAATATTTACCATTTATCACATAACTTTTCTTTAATGATTCTGGAAAATGTTCTTCAAAAATGGCTAAAATACTATTAAAAAGGTCAACGCCTGAAAATACAAGTTCAAGATACGTGTCTTCATCAATAGACATCAATGTGCAAGGGTTTGCATTTCATGCACTTTAGATGTATTACGTGAATAGGAGTCTAGACCATCTGATGGCCGAGAATTATATGGATTTGAACACCTGCAAAAATCGATAAAAGAGACTTAGTCTCAGACGTCAAGTACAGTTGCTACGACAATAAACAATCCATGTCACATTTTCAAACAGTCCTAACTTCACCCAGAATAATGTAGTTTTCAATATATACTTTATTCGTTATCTATTTTTGACCTATGATTGCAAGAACAGACAACTTTTTATCTACATCTCACATAATGCATCTTTAAGAACAAAATAAGTGGTGCGATATGGTCACATGGTAAGTGGTGCAATGTGCTATACATGGTAAGTGGTGCAATGTGCTATACATGGTAAGTGGTGCACATGGTACATGTAAGTGGTGCATTGTGGTACACATAGTGAGTGGTGCAATGTGCTATACATGGTAAGTGATGCAATGTAGTGCACATAGTAAGTGGTGCAATGTGCTACATGTGGTGCAATGTGCTACATGTGGTGCATTCTGGTTTGCAGAGTGCAGAATAGCTACCACTAAGATTGTATTCAACAGCTTTTTTATGTCATTAAAAATTACTAGAAATACAAAGGGGGAAAGAGAGATAAGCTTTAATCTATTCTTGATCCAAAACTAAATCATTTTGGGACTAACATATGTTATAATTTCACTTCAATAATTATCATGCACAGGGGTCTTAAGCAGTGGGAGGCTAATACGCTTCTGAATAAAAATGGGATGTACAAAAAATTCACCTGGCTTCCATAAATGTTTTAATCCCATTTTTTCTAAATCAAATATTACAACTATTCCATCTACCCTTTGATTTTCCTGTAATAAAAAATATAATTTACAGATCCAACACCACAACCAAAATATCCCATAAAATCCTCGTCACCTGGCTTCCACAAATGTTTTAAACCAAATTTTTCTAAATCATAAATCACAATTACGCCATTAACTCTTCGAGTTTCCTGTAATAGAAGATATCATATAATCTATCAATAAATCCAATAAAAATCAGTTTAATATCTTGCTACCACCTGTACAAAATTCTCCCGGTATTTGTAACAGGGAAGTAAACCTGTGATGTGCTGTGTGATCGTTTTTAGTTCTATTGGATGGCTAGATCTATTTGACAAGGCCAAATGCATAGTTCCCCAAGGTCACGAGATGTAAACAGGGTTTGGGCACATGATTGTTGTCGAGGATTATGGGTTAGGGTTAGTGTAAAGCGTAGGGCTAGGTCTTGGGTTTGCGCTTCCTGAAAACGACTATGACTTGCAGAACTTGTAATTTGGTTCCTTATAACGATGTGATCTCCGCGATGTATGGAGCTTATCAACCGGCAATACTATATACCGGAAAACAACCGGAAAACAACTGGAAAACAACCGGATAAATAGATTTGCCTCAGGTTAGCACATTCAAGTTTAAAACAAAAACCTTCACGAAGAATATACTTAACGTAAAATACCCAAAAAACATCACAATAAAAACCAAACAAATAAACAATTTTTCCTACTGTAGGTTCAGCGTCAAATAAAACAAGCGGTTGCCATGCAAGATACACCCACTTTTTGCAAGAGATGGACAGACAACAAGCTAAAAAAAATAATGTGATTTTTTGTACAATCAGGTGCCATATAATCCAGGAAGTTACAGTCCAATATCGAAAGGAACCAAGATCTTTTGGAGATAAACCTAAATTTTGAGTTTCGTCAAAATCGGATAAGAATTGAGACATGTAGAGTGTCCACAAACAAAATGTGGATGGATGGACGGGGACGAAGACAATATACAGCCACATGAAAATATGGGCATATAATAATAAATAAATAATTTTACTCACAGTCGACTCAGCTTCAAATATTTTATATATTCTCTCTAATAAATGAACTTTACTTTTGATGACATCTTGTTTCCGTGCCGATGATAACATGCCTGATAATAAAAACAAAAGTTTAAATACAGAGAGAGAGAGAGAGAGAGAGAGAGAGAGGTAGGTGACAGAGAGGGAGAGAGAGAGAGAGAGAGAGAGGGAGAGAGGGAGGGAGGTGACAGAGAGAGAGAGAGAGAGAGAGAGAGAGAGAGAGAGAGATAGGTGACAGAGAGGGAGAGAGAGAGAGAGAGGTAGGTGACAGAGAGAGAGAGAGAGAGAGAGAGAGAGAGGGAGGTGACAGAGAGGGAGAGAGAGAGAGAGAGAGAGTTTAAAGTCCACTCGACACAAACTAGGTCATTTTGGGACTAAAACATGGTTCAATTTTATTTCAATAATTTGATTGCGCATAGGGGTCTTTAGCAGTGGGAGGGCTCAATGACAGACTGTATGATACAGCGCGCATGTGCTAACCATTACATCCAACCCCCAATCCTAGATGGGAGATGATTGAAATCAGAAGGTTTAGTAATTTACCTTTTATATCCATATCACCGAATGGATCAATCCAGACTGGACAACCCTGTTTGTCCCGCCCACATAAACCACCTGGATAATATTTCTCTATAACTTCTGGTACCTTGTAATCAGATAAAATCGTATCAATACCATTCTGTGCTCTCCATGTAAAATCCTGAAAAATAAGGCATTCTTATTAATAAAATTATTACTATCATTATTTTTCCCATTCAGTATAGATCTCGGAAACTGTATAAGATAGAAATAAGAAGTTTGATTTCGAAAGTCATGAGCACCAGGAATGATAATCAACCTTAATTCTGTTAATTATCATATAGCCCGAAAAGTATTTATAACTTTATTATAAGGAGAGAGAGAGAGAGAGAGAGAGAGAGAGAGATGGGGTTTAACGTCTACTCGACACAAACTAGGTCAATTCGGGACTAACATATGGTTTTAATTTTATTTCAATAATTCGCTTGCGCGTAGTGGGAGGAAACCGGAGGACCCGGAGAAAACCCACAAGGTTGGACAGGCGACCCTACTCCTTGTCACGTTCAACAGGGGATTCGAAACCACGCCAGTTGACTCAATGACAGGCTTTATGATACAGCATGCGCGTGCTAACCATTCAGCCATCCAACCACCCTGTATTATAAGGAGTTTTTTCCAATAAAACTACAACAAATTTGGTATTGGAAAATAGAGACGCCCAGTCTTACTAGAAAAATACTGGACTGAGTGAAAAACACCCTTGGGGCATGCACAGAGCAAAAATGTCAGGGTATAACTAACTGTCAGCCCGATGGCTTGTTGTCTGCCAGCTCAGTTTGACTTAGGGAGTGGTTATTTCTTGATCGAGTGGTTAGGTGGTTTCAGGAACATTGAGGGTTTTAAACATAAAATAGAATCTGCAATTAAACAGCAGAAAAAAAAATTGGCAGAAGATAATCTAAGAATTTACTTAGGCTTCAATATGTATGGTAAATGAACAGTAAGTTACGACACATACATTCTGAAAGATAGGTTGCCAGGCAACGAAACATACACCCACAGCAGCTAAATCGTCCGGGCAGTCAACAAGTGTTGTCGCATATTTTTACTTCTTTCGGTAATGAAACATTTATAATACACTCATGAAGTAATTATCAGAAAACCATTAGAATTTGTTTGGTTTTTAATATCATGGATTTAGCTGTTTAAGTCATAAAAATTCATTGAAAATCAATAATACTTGTTCATCTCAAGCTCTTAAACTCTGTGTATCACTCTGAAGTCAATCGGATGATAACTTTAGCCTCTAGAGCGTCACAAGATTTTTCGAAGTGATCAAGGGCCATAACTGTGACAGTAATTATCGAAAGTCACTGAAAATGAATAGACTTCTTTGTCTCATGACCTTTAACACTGGGTATAAATTTAAAGTCAATCGGATATTGACTTTAGCCTCTAGAGCGCCCACAAGATTTTTCAAAGTGATCAAGGGCCATAACTCTGGCAGTAAATATTGAAAATCGCTGAAAATCAATAGGCTTCTTCGTCTCATGACCTTAAACACTGTGTATAAATTTAAAGTCAATCGGATATTAACTTTGGCCTTTAAAGCGTCCACAATGATTTTTTGAAGTGATCAAGGGCCATAACTCTGGCAGTAATTATCGAAAATCGCTGAAAATGAATAGGCTTCATCGTCTCATGACCTTAAACACTGTGTATAAATTTAAAGTCAATCGGATATTAACTTTGACCTGTAGAGCGTCCACAAGATTTTTTTAAGTGACCAAGGGCCATAACCCTGGCAGTAATTATCGGAAATCGCTGAAAATCAATAGGCTTCTTCGTCTCATGACCTTAAACACTGTGTATAAATTTGAAGTCAATCGGATATTAACTTTGGCCTGTAGAGCGTCCACAATGTTTTTTGAAGTGATCAAGGGCCATAACTCTGGCATTAATTATCAGAAATCGCTGAAAATCAATAGGCTTCTTCGTCTCATGACCTTAAACACTGTGTATAAATCTAAAGTCAATCGGATATTAACTTTGGCCTTTAGAGCGTCCACAAGATTTTTTGAAGTGAACAAGGGCCATAACTCTGGCAGTAATTATTGGAAATAGCTGAAAATCAATAGGCTTCTTCGTTTCATGGCCTTAAAGACTGTATATAAATTTAAAGTCAATTGGATATTAACTTTAGCCTCTAGAGCGTCCACAAGCAATTGTGGACGCCGGACGGAAGGACGGGGGCGACGACAATATACGACCACATTTCAATGTGGGCGTATAAAAATGGACCTTCCCTCAATCAAGTTACGTGACAAACATGGCTTCTAAAAAATAGATTGTTTAGTATCTTCAACGTCCTATGATAATGTGCTGACTGGGCTAATGAAGACGGATGTTATCACAGGTGATTGAATTGATTGAATATTATAAATGTCAACCACATTTTTTTATTTATATAATTCTCTCTTGTTTTTACTGGATTGTATTCGACATTTATCATCATTTATGACAGAATTTCAAATGATGACAAAAGGTCATCTATATTAGTGGATGGGTATAACACATACCAGACAGACATGCTGGTCAGAAAAAGAATAATAAAGTTTAAAGATACATTATACAAGATCTAAATCTGCCTATTGCAGGTCTTTCTTTAGGCCTGAATTGTTTTCTAAATTAGTAATTAGACATTAATTAACTTATCCAGGCCATAACCAACTCTCCAATATTAAATAGATTAGAACAGTTCAGCCATATTTTGATTTAAGCTAAAAATGGAGGAGCAAGACTTAGCGCCAAACAACCAGTACGGTGGTTGAAATTATTGCACATGTCTTGTCAAACCTTCAAAGGCTAATATCTTCGTTCGCAATAGAGTAATTTGAATGAAATTTTAAAATTATTCATTTTACATTATCTATTTTCGAACTATTATAGCAGAAAGGCTAGCTCTTTATCTAAATCTTACATAATGTATCTTTAAGATTATATACAATGGAGCAAAAACATACCGTCTAGAAATTATCCAATTGTATAAATTATAAGTAAGTTATGGCCATTTAATATTTACATTGGTTTGTTCTCACAGTCATTTTATGTTTCTTCAACTGGGACCACGGTGGCTAAGTGGGTAAGACGCTGGCTAGCTAGCATTGTGGGTTTGGTATTCGATCATCAAGATTTTCCGGCATGATTCTCCCTTGTCAGTGATGCAGGACAGCTGTCTCATCATTCGGATGGGACAAAAAAACAAGGTCATGTGTTCACATTGTGCACGTTAAAGATCCCTTGACAGTTGGAATTCGATATAAGAGTAGGTCATAGTGCCGCTGTCAGGGCAAAATTTCACTCATAGCACATTGTATGGAGTATGCCCGTCTTCATTAGCCTAGTTTGGAGCAGAACAGTAGGACGTTAAACCCCATTTCATTTCATTTCTGTTTCTTTAACAATAAATAGATAATCAG